AGCTACCTTAACTTAATGGACTTAGCTGGTTCTGAGAGGTTTCTCTGACGAAAGCTGCTGGTGAGCGTCTTAAAGGGGGGCTAACATAAACAAATCTTTGTCAGTATTAGGAAATGTGATAAGGCAACTAAGCGAGGGGAAGGAGTTTATCAGTTATCGCGATTCGAAATTGACTAGACTGCTCTCACAGGCTCTTGGCGGTAATGCCAAATCATTGATTATCGGGAATGTTACTTTAGCTGCAGAGGAGGAGACTAGATCTACACCAGAATTCGCCCAAAGCACTAAAACTGTCAAAAATAAAACGAAAGTAAACATCTTGTCAGCTACAGAAGAGACACTTCAAGGATATCAGAACTTGACTCGCGATCTCGAAACTCGGCTCAAAAGCAGGCAATTAAGCTAAAAGAGATGGATAAAAGCAAACAAGAGTATCTGCTCGAGATAGAAAGACTAAAAACGGAAGTATCTATCTATTGTCGGGCGCTTTCAAATGGGAGCCTCGGCATCAACACCGAAAAAAAACATTAAGACGTCATACTTTTGGACACTATGGCAACGTATCACCTAAAAAAGCATCCCTAGGGTATATGCCATTGAAAAATTATCCACCCAAAGAAGAATCATCCGGACGTGAAATGAGGCCTATTCAAGAAGAGACATATGAGGAGGCACTAGCCGAAGCAGAATCTGTGATAGCTGAAGACGTGCAAGTGTACTTAAAAGACAACTCAAAGAACTGGAAGAATCTTTCAATGAGCTTAGAGAATTCACTAAACTAGATAATCAGCTGGAGATTTTGGACCTGAAGAAACAGCTCACAGAAGCCAATTCTAAATTCGATCGTTACAGTCAGGAACTCCGCCAAGTAACGGATGCGTACAACGAAGAAATAGAAAGAGTTCAAAAAAATTCTCAAAAAGCGCAAGAATTTCATCGACTTGCAATACAGACTCGATTTTCTGGAAAAAAATAATAAAAAGACTAAAAACATACGAGTCAGAAATAGAGATGCTGCGTACTCAACTGAAGAACCTAGGAAGATCAGAGAGCCCTAAACCATCTCTTGAAGCTCAAAATATTGAGTCAAAAAGAAGGTTGCAGACTTAGAAGCTATGCTTGACGCTGAGTACGAAGATATGCAACATTCTTTAAGTGCTGCTGCACAAACTGATGTAACGATGTCACACATTGCTGAACTGCAAGATGAAATTGGCTTCCTAAAAGAACTTGAATCTAAACTGAGAAATGACGTAAAGAGTCTGATGGACGAGAGTAACCAACGTGAGGTCAACCACTCATTTAAAATCTCAGATATACGATGCCATAATGATTCTACTATAAAAGAGCTTCAGGATCAAATGGCTGAACTGGAATGCCAAAACGAAATCTGGATTATGAAAAAGGACGACGAAATCAGAAAATTGCAACAACTAATTACAAACCCGAAGCAGGCTGGCACTTAACCAGAACCACCTGTGCAGGAAGACGTTGCATTTTATAGGGAGCAAGTTGAGTTCTCCCAGAACATGTACAAAAATGAGATAATAGGTGGAGAGTTACGTATAAACCATAGAGAAAATCTTCAGGCAGTTAAACTAGAAATATGTCTACCCTTGTTTAGTGTTTACGATTATTGCAGGGTTTGGACAAAGTTTAGGGCTGATCCCAGTGCTCACAGTGTACAATTTTCAGCTAATAAATCTTGAATTCTGAGGTAACAAAATCAACTAGAACTCTGAAAAAGTGATTTATCAGAAATCATGCCCTTACTTCCATGATAAGAGGGATTCGTAAAAATTATAAGCAGGTTGTGGCTTATTATCTAGTAAAAGATACAAGAATCCCAGATCTGAAAACGATTATTGTTCATGTGATCACAAACTAGCAGCGACTTGGTTTGTGCGTTGTTGGCACTATTTCTAATCAGGGCGCAACGATCAAAAACGCACTTGAGACGATTTGCTCGGAGAATACTCACGGATCAAGTCCATTCCATTTTATAGTCAATGCTCAGAGTATTTCTACAATTTGTGATGAACCACATTTATTCAAAAATGGATGAAATGCTCTTATTGACATTAATATGAAAGTGAAGAAGCTGCACAGATTGAACATGTCTAGAAATCATATAATGTTGATCAGCAAACAAGACCATACAAAGAGCTATGTAAATTGAAACCCAGCCACTTTGATTTTATAGATTCGTTCAAGAATATAGAAATTAATCCTTTAATGATATCGTCGGATGATTCGAGCTTTCTCAGTTATGTGGTGGGGGTCCCGTGACTTCTCATACGGTATGAGCACGTATACCTCAAACCACAGTTTAATTTAAACATCACAATTGTTGGTTTGTTGACTTTGCGGTCAAATTTGATCCGAGGATGTCAGTTGCGTGTACGATTTGAACTTCCTTCACAATGGATTTTTTCGTTGTTGACGGATGAACAATACACTATAGACTACGCCGAGGACGACGCTGCTATCGATCAACCTGAACAACTTCCTATGGGCGACCTCGCTATGCCTATGGAAAAAACATGTACAATTGGTCAAAACGAGCGCCTGCAACTGGTCGATTATTACGCATTTACCTGAACTAAAGTCCGTGGCAACCAATTTGGAAAATAATAACCCTGTGACTCGAGAAATGCCGATAAATTTCTCCAAATACGTGAAATTTTCGAGACACTCATAGAGAACTGTCGAAATTGTTATATTTCGGGTGAGTCCCCTACAAAATACGAGATGCTCGTGGGCCGATGTCCTTCCTGTGCCTACAAGAAAACTAAACCGAATAAGTATGGACTGATGATGCAAAGACTCACCACTACCTGCTCAATGCTTTCGTCTATACGAACAGAAATATCACAGCAGATGACTGGTTCACGTCAGTAGAAGTACATGTAGAATTGCGCATCAACCAACTGACCTATGTCGGCAGGAAGCGTAAAAATAGTAACAAGTACCCCAACATGTAGTTCCAATAAGAAGGAAACACAGCCAGGTACTTCTAAGTTTATGTTTGTACAGAAGTATCTTCCAAACCAAATACACATGTTCTCGTTATAGCAACTATGCAGCATGATAACAAAATAGTAGAGGAATCAAAGAACCCTGATAAGATCCTATATTATTTTTATAACACTATTGAAGGCGGGGGGTAATTGCATTAGATCGGAAGTGTGTAAATACAATACTGGTTAGAGACCGAGAAGACTGGCCTTGTGCTATTTGGTATCCAACCAGCTCTGTAAATTCCTTTTTTTTTCAGTCTGGGACTGAAAGTTCCATTAGGCGACGAAATTTTATTGTTCCCCTGAGGCCAAAACTCTAATTTAACTTCGTATGAGAGGACGTTTATAAGATCCAAGACTTCCTAGGGAGCTTCGTTCAGCCATGCAAAGAATCCTAAATTACCAACGACGAATAAGTAAGCCGTCTACTGCTCAGCCCAGAGTTCTCGATCCTGATGCAGTTGTTAAAGAAAAAAAAACGACGTAGGTGTTACATGCCAATACAAATGAAAAAAATGTTCTACAATCTGTAATAAGTATGTAAAGTCACAGCGCACTTACATTGTTTCGTGAAAAGTGCTAAATGTTAATTATTGTATGTTTCCTTATACGAGAAAGTATTTGTTTTGTTGTAGAATATCAACACCAAATATGTTGTTAAATGGCCCATTTTTGTTAGTTTTTTTATGTTCATATTACAGTTCAAGTTTCGAGGATTATATTTATTGCATTACTCATCTTCAATGGGGTATTTTCGTTTTTAGACAATAAAACGTTTTCATGTAAGAGTGTCTTATGCGTACAAACCTGTTGTACACCATGGCTAAAAACAGTAATGGCATTTCAGATGTTGATAGTAAGATCCGGTGGATAACCTGTTTTGCGAGATTAGACGTGGGATTTCCAACACGAACACCATCTGTTTATTTGAAGCATTAAAAAATGTACTAATCAACAATTCAGTTTTCCATTGACAATAATGAAGGAATTATGAAGGCGATTCATTTAAGGCCACTAGGTAACTTCGCGTTGCTTTTAGAAGAGTATTGTCTGAATAGACAACAGTTACCTTGTGATTCTTCACCGAGCTGCATTTTTCAAGTTGAAAATCGGGTGCTGAAAGTGATGGATCTATAGATTTGTGAGAATTTGCTGCTGCTTCAACTTCTTTTGTAATAACAATAACAGTCTATATGAAATTTAACAATTCTGTTTCTTCTTTGATTTTGAGTCACCCTGTAAATGTAGCTCTACTAAACTATCGGACCGCAATTCATAGCCTACAAGAGAAAAAAATCTTCTATACTGGAAAGGAGGAAAAAAAGAATGTATCAACTGATACATCTGCCCCTCTTATAACCCGTGAAATAGCCCTAGTTCTAATTAAATTTCAGTTCAAGCTTCCAAAATGACTTCCAACAATATTAAAGTAGCCACAAAGATCAGACCCAATGATCCACCGCGAAGTAGCCGATGGTCTAGAGCGTCTTGGAACGTAAGAGTAAACTGCATATGGGAAGCGATGAAAGTAGTCGCCATGGAGAGGTTTATATATTCGACCATGTATTTAATCAGGAATGTACAAATTCAGATGTATATGGATCTGTAGTAAAACCTTTAGTCGATTCCTTCATGGAAGGTTTCAATGCCACAATATTTGCATATGGCCAAACATCTTCTGGCAAAACACACACCATTTTGGGCAATAAAACAGATCCTGGGCTTTTCCAATTAGTATCCAATCAGTTATTCCAGCATGTGGCAGACCAGGTGATAAGAGGTACTTGATTAGATGCAGTTATATTGAAATCTACAATGAAAAGATCAATGACCTCCTGGATAAGAGCAATCAGGGTTTAAACTATGAGAAGATATCAAAGGAAATGTGCTGCTTGATGCAAGGGAAGCTGTCGTAGACAATGTTGATAAAGTTATGGAGAACATGATGCAGGGCAATAAGATCAGACGAGTTGCAGCTACTCGCATGAATGAGAGGTCATCTCGATCACACACGATTTTCCGGATTATTCTGGAGTCGAAAGATGCCAATCAGAAAGATGGACCTGTACATATAAGCTACCTTAACTTAATGGACTTAGCTGGTTCTGAGAGAGTTTCTCTGACGAAAGCTGCTGGTGAGCGTCTTAAAGAGGGGGCTAACATAAACAAATCTTTGTCAGTATTAGGAAATGTGATAAGGCAACTAAGCGAGGGGAAGGAGTTTATCAGTTATCGCGATTCGAAATTGACTAGACTGCTCTCACAGGCTCTTGGCGGTAATGCCAAATCATTGATTATCGGGAATGTTACTTTAGCTGCAGAGGAGGAGACTAGATCTACACCAGAATTCGCCCAAAGCACTAAAACTGTCAAAAATAAAACGAAAGTAAACATCTTGTCAGCTACAGAAGAGACACTTCAAGGATATCAGAACTTGACTCGCGATCTCGAAACTCGGCTCAAAAAGCAGGCAATTAAGCTAAAAGAGATGGATAAAAGCAAACAAGAGTATCTGCTCGAGATAGAAAGACTAAAAACGGAAGTATCTATTGTCGGGCGCTTTCAAATGGGAGCCTCGGCATCAACACCGAAAAAAACATTAAGACGTCATACTTTTGGACACTATGGCAACGTATCACCTAAAAAGCATCCCTAGGGTATATGCCATTGAAAAATTATCCACCCAAAGAAGAATCATCCGGACGTGAAATGAGGCCTATTCAAGAAGAGACATATGAGGAGGCACTAGCCGAAGCAGAATCTGTGATAGCTGAAGACGTGCAAGTGTACTTAAAAGACAACTCAAAGAACTGGAAGAATCTTTCAATGAGCTTAGAGAATTCACTAAACTAGATAATCAGCTGGAGATTTTGGACCTGAAGAAACAGCTCACAGAAGCCAATTCTAAATTCGATCGTTACAGTCAGGAACTCCGCCAAGTAACGGATGCGTACAACGAAGAAATAGAAAGAGTTCAAAAAAATTCTCAAAAAGCGCAAGAATTTCATCGACTTGCAATACAGACTCGATTTTCTGGAAAAAAATAATAAAAAGACTAAAAACATACGAGTCAGAAATAGAGATGCTGCGTACTCAACTGAAGAACCTAGGAAGATCAGAGAGCCCTAAACCATCTCTTGAAGCTCAAAATATTGAGTCAAAAAAGAAGGTTGCAGACTTAGAAGCTATGCTTGACGCTGAGTACGAAGATATGCAACATTCTTTAAGTGCTGCTGCACAAACTGATGTAACGATGTCACACATTGCTGAACTGCAAGATGAAATTGGCTTCCTAAAAGAACTTGAATCTAAACTGAGAAATGACGTAAAGAGTCTGATGGACGAGAGTAACCAACGTGAGGTCAACCACTCATTTAAAATCTCAGATATACGATGCCATAATGATTCTACTATAAAAGAGCTTCAGGATCAAATGGCTGAACTGGAATGCCAAAACGAAATCTGGATTATGAAAAAGGACGACGAAATCAGAAAATTGCAACAACTAATTACAAACCCGAAGCAGGCTGGCACTTAACCAGAACCACCTGTGCAGGAAGACGTTGCATTTTATAGGGAGCAAGTTGAGTTCTCCCAGAACATGTACAAAAATGAGATAATAGGTGGAGAGTTACGTATAAACCATAGAGAAAATCTTCAGGCAGTTAAACTAGAAATATGTCTACCCTTGTTTAGTGTTTACGATTATTGCAGGGTTTGGACAAAGTTTAGGGCTGATCCCAGTGCTCACAGTGTACAATTTTCAGCTAATAAATCTTGAATTCTGAGGTAACAAAATCAACTAGAACTCTGAAAAAGTGATTTATCAGAAATCATGCCCTTACTTCCATGATAAGAGGGATTCGTAAAAATTATAAGCAGGTTGTGGCTTATTATCTAGTAAAAGATACAAGAATCCCAGATCTGAAAACGATTATTGTTCATGTGATCACAAACTAGCAGCGACTTGGTTTGTGCGTTGTTGGCACTATTTCTAATCAGGGCGCAACGATCAAAAACGCACTTGAGACGATTTGCTCGGAGAATACTCACGGATCAAGTCCATTCCATTTTATAGTCAATGCTCAGAGTATTTCTACAATTTGTGATGAACCACATTTATTCAAAAATGGATGAAATGCTCTTATTGACATTAATATGAAAGTGAAGAAGCTGCACAGATTGAACATGTCTAGAAATCATATAATGTTGATCAGCAAACAAGACCATACAAAGAGCTATGTAAATTGAAACCCAGCCACTTTGATTTTATAGATTCGTTCAAGAATATAGAAATTAATCCTTTAATGATATCGTCGGATGATTCGAGCTTTCTCAGTTATGTGGTGGGGGTCCCGTGACTTCTCATACGTATGAGCACGTATACCTCAAACCACAGTTTAATTTAAACATCACAATTGTTGGTTTGTTGACTTTGCGGTCAAATTTGATCCGAGGATGTCAGTTGCGTGTACGATTTGAACTTCCTTCACATGGATTTTTTCGTTGTTGACGGATGAACAATACACTATAGACTACGCCGAGGACGACGCTGCTATCGATCAACCTGAACAACTTCCTATGGGCGACCTCGCTATGCCTATGGAAAAACATGTACATTGGTCAAAACGAGCGCCTGCAACTGGTCGATTATTACGCATTTACCTGAACTAAAGTCCGTGGCAACCAATTTGGAAAATAATAACCCTGTGACTCGAGAAATGCCGATAAATTTCTCCAAATACGTGAAATTTTCGAGACACTCATAGAGAACTGTCGAAATTGTTATATTTCGGGTGAGTCCCCTACAAAATACGAGATGCTCGTGGGCCGATGTCCTTCCTGTGCCTACAAGAAAACTAAACCGAATAAGTATGGACTGATGATGCAAAGACTCACCACGACCTGCTCAATGCTTTCGTCTATACGAACAGAATATCACAGCAGATGACTGGTTCACGTCAGTAGAATTACATGTAGAATTGCGCATCAACCAACTGACCTATGTCGGCAGGAAGCGTAAAAATAAGTAACAAGTACCCCAACATGTAGTTCCAAATAAGAAGGAACACAGCCAGGTACTTCTAAGTTTATGTTGTACAGCCTTAGAGTAGTATCTTCCAAAACCAAATACACATGTTCTCGTATAGCAATCTATGCAGCATGATAACAAAATAGTAGAGGAATCAAAGAAACTGATAAGATCCTATATTATTTTTATAACACTATGAAGGCGGGGGGTAATGCATTAGATCGGAAGTGTGTAAATTACAATACTGGTTAGAGAACGAGAAGATGGCCTTGTGCTATTTGGTATCCAACCAGCTTCTGTAAATTCCTTTTTTTTCAGTCTGGGACTGAAAGTTCCATAGGCGACGAAATTTTATTGTTCCCTGAGGCAAACTCTAATTTAAACTTCGTATGAGAGGACGTTTATCAGATCCAAGACTTCCTAGGGAGCTTCGTTCAGCCATGCAAAGAATCCTAAATTACCAACGACGAATAAGTAAGCCGTCTACTTCTCAGCCCAGAGTTCTCGATCCTGATGCAGTTGTTAAAGAAAAAAAACGACGTAGGTGTTACATGACAATACACAATGAAAAAAATGTTCTACAATCTGTAATAAGTATGTAAAGTCACAGCGCACTTACATTGTTTCGTGAAAAGTGATAAATGTTAATTATTGTATGTTTCCTTATACGAGAAAGTATTTGTTTTTGTTGTAGAATATCAACACCAAATATGTTGTTAAATGGCCCATTTTGTTAGTTTTTTTATGTTCATATTACAGTTCAAGTTTCGAGGATTATATTTATTGCATTACTCATCTTCAATGGGGTATTTTCGTTTTTAGACAATAAACAGTTTTCATGTAAGAGTGTCTTATGCGTACAAACCTGTTGTACACATGGCTAAAAACAGTAATGGCATTTCAGATGTTGATAGTAAGATCCGGTGGATAACCTGTTTTGCGAGATTAGACGTGGGATTTCCAACACGAACACCATCTGTTTATTTGAAGCATTAAAAACTGTAATAATCAACAATTTCAGTTTTCCATTGACAATAATGAAGAATTATGAAGGCGATTCATGTAAGGCACTAGGTAACTTCGCGTTGCTTTTAGAAGAGTATTGTCTGAATAGGACAACAGTTACCTTGTGATTCTTCACCGAGCTGCATTTTTCAAGTTTGAAAAATCGGGTGCTGAAAGTGATGGATCTATAGATTTGTGAGAATTGCTGCTGCTTCAACTTCTTTTTGTAATAACAATAACAGTCTATATGAAATTTAACAATTCTGTTTCTTCTTTGATTTTGAGTCACCCTGTAATGTAGCTCTACTAAACTATCGGACCGCATTCATAGCCTACAAGAGAAAAAAATCTTCTATACTGGAAAGGAGGAAAAAAGAATGTATCAACCTGATACATCTGCCCCTCTTTATAACCCGTGAAATAGCCCTAGTTCTAATTAAATTTCAGTTCAAGCTTCCAAAATGACTTCCAACAATATTAAAGTAGCCACAAAGATCAGACCAATGATCCACCGCGAAGTAGCCGATGGTCTAGAGCGTCTTTGGAACGTAAGAGTAAACTGCATATGGGAAGCCGATGAAAGTAGTCGCCATGGAGAGGTTTATATATTCGACCATGTATTTAATCAGGAATGTACAAATTCAGATGTATATGGATCTGTAGTAAAACCTTTAGTCGATTCCTTCATGGAAGGTTTCAATGCCACAATATTTGCATATGGCCAAACATCTTCTGGCAAAACACACACCATTTTGGGCAATAAAACAGATCCTGGGCTTTTCCAATTAGTATCCAATCAGTTATTCCAGCATGTGGCAGACCAGGTTGATAAGAGGTACTTGATTAGATGCAGTTATATTGAAATCTACAATGAAAGATCAATGACCTCCTGGATAAGAGCAATCAGGGTTTAACTATGAGAAGATATCAAAGGAAATGTGCTGCTTGATGCAAGGGAAGCTGTCGTAGACAATGTTGATAAAGTTATGGAGAACATGATGCAGGGCAATAAGATCAGACGAGTTGCAGCTACTCGCATGAATGAGAGGTCATCTCGATCACACACGATTTTCCGGATTATTCTGGAGTCGAAAGATGCCAATCAGAAAGATGGACCTGTACATATAAGCTACCTTAACTTAATGGACTTAGCTGGTTCTGAGAGAGTTTCTCTGACGAAAGCTGCTGGTGAGCGTCTTAAAGAGGGGGCTAACATAAACAAATCTTTGTCAGTATTAGGAAATGTGATAAGGCAACTAAGCGAGGGGAAGGAGTTTATCAGTTATCGCGATTCGAAATTGACTAGACTGCTCTCACAGGCTCTTGGCGGTAATGCCAAATCATTGATTATCGGGAATGTTACTTTAGCTGCAGAGGAGGAGACTAGATCTACACCAGAATTCGCCCAAAGCACTAAAACTGTCAAAAATAAAACGAAAGTAAACATCTTGTCAGCTACAGAAGAGACACTTCAAGGATATCAGAACTTGACTCGCGATCTCGAAACTCGGCTCAAAAAGCAGGCAATTAAGCTAAAAGAGATGGATAAAAGCAAACAAGAGTATCTGCTCGAGATAGAAAGACTAAAAACGGAAGTATCTATGTCGGGCGCTTTCAAA